AAAGTTAATTAACATGATGGAATGTCCTATTTAAAATTTAACAAATCCATTAAAAGGACTATCATTAGATACTATTCAATTAAATTATTAGAAAAAGTGCTTTTTGACCAAAATTATGCAAACTGTTCATTATTGGCAATTACTATACACAAAGCTTTGACAATTCCGGTTAGTAAACAAGATCAATTAACATTATTTACTGGATTTATTGTTTTAAAAAAAATAAAATAAAAAAAAAAAAAAGTTATTTCAATTGCTTTCTGCAAAAAACGATGCAAGTCCTGAGGACCAGACCTCAACATCTCCTTACTTCCAGACTTAAAGTACCCTCAACAGAATGGATTTCTTGAACTCTTAATGAGAAACAATGTATCCCTCCCAGAGATTCTGAGGAAACTCTCGGACCCCTGTAAACAGATCCTAAAATCATGCTGACTCCTGCTTCATTGTTTCCCTATGCATCATTAAACATTGGAACACAGAACTTACCCATTCAGAGCTACGAACATGCAAGGTCTCATGGTACAGAATGAAAGATGGTCTATGACCTTGGCACCTGCCCAAACAACAGGGTGTATTCTGCACCCAGCACAGTTATTGGGTACACGTGCCAAGCAGATATGGTGAAGAACCAGATGGGAACTTTAGTAAACCATTTAACTTTTTTTTCCAGGATGTTCTATAACTCTGCCAAATTAAACTGTGCAGTTAATAGATTCTCAGATGATGGTGTACGAGTCATTTGGGAGTGAGGATGGCTGATGGTATGGTTGTCCTGTCCATTTCCAGTAATCACATGTCACAGCAAGTAGCTCTTAGAACCGGTTAGTAGTTAATACCCTGAAATTTTAATCTCTAATATATTTGTCCTTAAGCAGATTAAAGTATATGCTTTCATGAACATAGCATATACTCCTATTGTCAAGGATTTAGTTCAAAGGACCAAAGAATCAAAAACTCGATCACATGAAGTGGACACTCATAGAAAAATTCATTGAATTCAATCCTTTCCTATGTGAAGCATTTGAATGAATGCGCGGCTTTCACTGTGCATGCACATTATTTTGGCCATTACCTCGAGAGCTGGATGAAGTCACAGGACGCAGGGTGGTTGGCTGTGCCGAGTAAGTCTTGGTGCTGGAATAAAGAAAAGTAAAACACTTTTTTTTCTTTTTTATGGAAAGGGAGGGGAGGGGAAGGGGCGAGGTGGTACCTAAAACAAATCTGCAAATACTGCACTAATGGCATTAATAAAACAGGTTTGTGTGCCCCTTTAATGTATGAGCAGTTTCCCAACACACAAACTAGAAAAGTCAATATTAATCAAATAGTACCACTGCAAGATGTGTGTGATGGACGCCTGGCACCCCGACTGGGTACCTCCATCAATCGCTGCTTCCTAGTACTTGCGAGCACCATATGCACTGTACTGGAACACCATAACCACTGTAGACCACATGAACTGCCACAGCTTGGTTGGGGTCTCTCTGTCCTCCACCCACCCTGGACCCAAGACCAGGATCTAGCTTCCAGTGGGTAGACCTCTCCTACTCCAGAGAGCGTAGCAGGAACAGCTCCTTTAAGAGCTAGTGATTATACTCAGGGGAGTATTGGAATATAGCAATCCCCAGAGTGTATGTAGTTATCCAATCCCCCAAACATGAGCCAAGACTTCATGAAGGGGAAAACAAATCTCTTTAATGGCAGCCACACTGGCCTTTTATGCAAGTCCCCAAGCAAGGTGTACGCCCACATGGACCTCTTTGAGGACAGGGACACAAACTTACAAACCAAATATAACACATTTACAATGTAAGGCACTCACACACATAGAACACAATCCCTCCCCTCTGCCTGGGAGATAATGTATGTAACCCAATTATCTCCAGGCAGAAAAAAAAACATTTTACAAAACCCCAAAAGTACTCCAAAACACATAATATTCCCATGTTACACCCCCTGATAGCCCTGATCTGGGTGACCAACATATCCAAAAATCACCCAGATCAGTGCAGGGGTTCAGAAGTTTTATGGAAGTCATTTATTTGACCAACCATGCACATGGTCCCATGCCCAAAACAGTTCCAGAGAATTAAGGCTAACGGTTGATCTCTCTGTCTGATCTCAAAAGTACATTACACACATGAACAGAAACTTTTGAAGTGCATTCGGCAAGGTATATTGCAGGGCCCATAGTAGTGAGGCAAGAGGCTGGCCAGCAGGCCCCTCCAAGAACCAGTGACGAGGTTCAGTTCGTCACAGGGCCATAATCACAAGGTAGGAGGCTGGCAAACAGGCCCCTCCAAAAGCCAGTGACGAGGTTACTTTCCTCACAATGTGTAAATATGGAAGTAACTTGGCAATAGAGAAAATTAGGGATGCAAAATATACGCCCTGTAGTACTGGGGTGTTAGCAATTCCACTAATCTTGACCACAATTATTTAGCCTAAGTTTATTCATTAGGTTATACAAAAAGGATACCAGATGCACTGAGTTTTTTCCCGCAGTTTCACTTAAAAGGGACACTATAGGCACCCAGACCACTTCAGCTCAATACCTTGGGTTGTCTACTATTGCAAATGGTATGCCATTATGGGTGTAAATTTCATTCCTGGGCTTCTATACAGTCTCAAAGGCAACGTAACCAATCTGGCGAATTTCAATTTCAAATGTAACGTGCTGTATTTGACCCTGTAACTTCCCAAAACACCATAAAACCTGTACATAGGGGGTACTGTTTTACACGTGAGACTTTGCTGAATAAAAATGTGTATTTTATTGCAGTAAAAGCAAACAGTATTATGACATTGACAGTTAAAATGTCATGTAGAACTAAAAAATAAAGAGTTAAGAAAGTTTAGGAAAGTTTAAAAAAAATTAATAAGCAAAACAAGTTTAAAAACTAGTTTTTAACAGTAAAAAAGTTTAAAAAAATACATTTAAAAACGCTCATTACCACTACACCTGGAACAAACTAGAGAAAAAATGATCCCATGCCAAGGTTCAAAATATGCCTTTTGAATTACCCCAGGGTGTATTATTTAATAAATAGTATGTCTTTGTGGGAAAGTTTCAATAACCAACCGTCTAAACTACTCCAAATTGGAACATGGACAAAGCTTAAAACATCAAAGTTAGAAAAAAACTGAATGGCTGCGTCTCAAATGCGCCCCTTCAACATCCACATATACCTGGCAAAGGTACATACGGGGGTATTGCTGTACTCAGACCACATAGCTGAGCAACATATGAAGTATTATACAGTCGTAGCACACATAAGGTTTGCAAAATATACTGTGCAAACTCACTTTGTGTGTGAAAAAGACAGAAAAAAACGCTTATTACCACTACACCTGGTACAAGCTAGCGGAAAAATCATCCCACGCTAAGGTTCAAAATATACCTTTTGAAACACCCTGGGGTGTCTACTTTAAGAAATGGTAGGCCTTTGTGGGGTAGTTTGAATTTAAAACCTGCGAAGATGCTTGGAAATTGCACATAGGCCCAGTATCAAAATTCAAAGTTCGGTAAAAACGGATATGGCTTGGTCTCCTATATGGCACTGTAGCTTCACGAAATAGTGCCAAAGACATTCATCGGGGGTGTCTTTTTACTCAGAAGACTGAGCTGAGCATAATTTGGGAGGTTTGGACTTAGTGGCACATATGAAATATACAAAATGCAATCCGTATGTAAAAAATGCACAAAATTAGTTTTTACCACATACTTTGGCATATATTGGTGAAAAAATGGGGGCATGTTAAGGCACAATATGCACCTTATGAGATACGCTGGAGTGTCTGCTTTTACAAATGGTAGGCCTTTGTGGGGTTTTTTGAACAGTCAAACTACTATAATACCCCAAATGGAAGCTAAGGCTCATTAAATCCATCTCTCAAAATTCTACTGGGAATACTGAAAAGGACAGGTCTTCTATATGGCACTGTAACTTCACAAAATAGTGCCATAGACATACAATGGGGGTGTCATTTTACTCAGCAGATGTAACTGAACACAAAATCAAACTTTGTACAGGAATAGCACACACCAACTTTACAAAATATACATTTCTTTGTTATAAGTTTGTGTGCCAAAAACCCCAAAAAATAAATAAATTTTACTCCAATATTTAGCAGAGGTTGGCGTTGAAACGGCTACGTAGAAAGTGTCAAAAGAACCTTAGGTAAATAGCCCGTGATGTCTACTTTATATAAATATATACTTTTGTTTGGCAATTTTGTTTTCTTTTATGGCTATTAAGCTTACAAGCCCAACATCAAATTCTAAAATCGCTCGACATTAAAAGTTTATTTTACTCCTTGTGCTTTGTGACCTGTAACTACCAAAAAAAACTTTAAATCCCAGACACATTATATATTCTGTAAATCAGAACAACTAAATTTATTTATTTTCAATTACTTTCCTTAACCTGCACTAATTATGCACACATTATTATTGCAAAAACTGTAAAAACCCCACAAATTTTTTAATTTTTATTTGCATTTTTCTGTATTTTTTTATAATAAATAAGCATATATTAAAGTCCTTTCTGTCCTTTAAAAAAACGGTATATAGGAGGGGGCGGGGCCTGACTGCCGAGCTGGATGGACGTGGGGCACCTCAGCTCCTCCATGAAACCCACAATCCTAGCCTTAAAAATATTTCCTTCCCCCTGAAAAACCACCCAGCTGCAACTAGAAGGCAAAGGGGACCTGTGCACAACTCTCGGTGCACTTACCGGCCTCCGTCCTACCGGCGATGAAAACTGCTGGGCGGCTGGGATTGCGGCCTGTCGTGAGGCTCTGGCGGGAGATGCGGCCGGTCTCCCGTGCTTAGTCCGGCGGGAACTCCCACGCGCTCAAAGAGGGCCCCGTTCTCCCCCCCTGTGGGCCGGGGGGGTTATCCCGGACCCCACCGAGGAGGCAGTGACCACCCACGACTCCTGAGCGGCGAACCGAGCAGCCAGGGACCGCATGGTGAAAACCAAAATGGCCGCCATGTCCATCACAAGCTGGAGAATAATGGTGGCAGCCGTGGAGCAACGAACCGAAAGACACCTACATGACGCCTCTAAGGAGCGCACAACCAGCCTGCTACCACAACTCATGCCAGCATTGATGAAGGCAACACCTCACAGGGTAACCGGCAGGGACTCACGTGGGACTATAACCCTAAATAAGCGCAGAGGCGCAACAGACAAGAGACACAAGCTCCCTTATTATACATGAGTATACTATGTCATACTGTCATGCCTAGAACTAGTGCAATTGTGCCTAGCCGGAAAAAAAAAAAAAAAAAACGGTATATAATGTGTGTCGGTGCAATAAAATTTGTAAAATGCAAATTGCAGTTGAACGCAAATAGCAAAAAATGAAAAAAAAAATGCTGTTGTCATTATGTGAAATTCAACCTTTGAAGCTCTGTCCTTAAGGGGTTAAAGGTATCCCGATGAGGATATCGTCTGTGGAAGGGCCGTTTGAGTGAAAAATGCAAAGAACAAATATTAACGCTAACTTTGACCAGTGTTTGTGACTACTAAAAAAAAGAGTGCACATACCTAATTTGCAATACCCTGGGTTGTCTACTTTTTTCAAATTCTTATTTCTGGGCTACCATACACTCTCAAAGGCAACATAGCCAATCTGGCAAATTTCAATGACCCAGTTACTTTCCAAAACACCATAAAGCCTATACATGGGGGGTACCGTTTTATAAATGAGACATAACTGAATTCAAATATGTGTATTTTATTGTAGTAACAACCAACAGTATGACATTCACAGTTAAAATGCTATGCAAAAACAAAAAAAATTTTTTTTAGATTTCATATTAAATTAGGTTTTATATATAAATATTTGATGTTAAATGAAAGCCCTGTTTCTCTTGAACCAAATGATATATAATAAGTGTGAGTGCA